TAAATTTTTTTATAAAATTATTTAAATATTACTAATAAATTAACATATAAAAAATGCATTAAGAATATTTAAATAATTTTATAGAGAGTTTAAATGTTTTAAATACCAAAATTTTTTTATTTTCATTTTTCTTTAAATTTATTTATGGAAAAGAAAAAATCATAGATTTATTAAATAATGATATACTACATTCAATTTATTTATATAATTTATATTTATAATATTAAGAGATTATTAAATTAATAAATACATATAATATTATGAGTGTTAATAAAATAAAAAATTAATAAATAACATATAAAATTATATAATAAAAAATATCAGTTAATCATTATTCAAATTCATTATCAATACTTGGCAGAAAAAAAAAAAAAGAAAAAAGATCTATAACAAATGTAAGAAGATTAGAGCACATTGGCTTAATTTAAGAGTGTGGAGTGGACTAAAACTGTGATTGTAATTTTTTAGTTTTTTAACATAAAAATTTGTGTAAAATATATTTAATATTTATTTTAATTAATATTTTATATATTTTTAAAATAAAAAAATTTTAAAAACTAAAAACTAAAACATCAAAAAACATTTTTAGACGAAACCTTGATATTACAAAAAAAATAGAAGAAGATTAAAAAGGGATTTTTTTAAAGTATAGGGACTAAAATAGATTTTTTTCAAAGTAAAAGGACCAAAAAAGAGTTTTTTACCAAAATAAATAGACCAAAAAAAAGTTATATTTTAACTATTTTTTGGTCCATCTAATTTGAAATCCTATCATCTAATATGTTACCTATGCAAAACTTAAAAGACAGACAAAAAAATAGTCAAATTTCAAATTTTCAAAATTAAAAAAGAGATTTTTTAAGTAAACGGATTAAAATGAAACTTTTTACTAAAGTAAAGGACCAAAATAAAAATTTAACCTTTTATATAGCGTAGGGGCATGGTTGATAAGTACTACTCATAGTTCTGTTTGGTTAATGGATGTTATAAGAAAGAAAAGAAAAAACCGATAAATACTTTCATCGGGTAAAGCTGGGTAGAAGTAATCCTTTTCCAGTGAGGAGTTCGAGCTCTATAATATAAAGTATATATTTACTTAAATCGTTGTTACATATTTAAAATAATTTTAAAAAATTTTTATTTTATAATATAAATTATATTAAATTATAAAATAAATATTCTTAAGTTTTAACACAAAAAAATCTTATTTTTTATTTATAAATAATTTTAAGTTACAATTCAAACTTGTATATCAATTTTTCAGTAATCCATTTATGATTGATTAATGATCCTTCCATTTGGAGGCACATTCTACGAGAAATAGCATGCCACATCGGCAGAAAAGAAGTATGGAATTTGACCAAATTGGGTCAATGACTTGGACCAAAGACTTTGAAATCTTTCTACCATTAGCAACTGGCCCCTCCGGTACCAAACCATCAACACGTGCGTCCCACCGAAACAACAGTTCACTGTTCAAGTATCATTTTCTTCTGTTTCTGCCAAAATATTAGTATTTCCTTTCCCTTTAAATTTTTAAAACGACAAAACAAGGTTCTACTTTGTGCCTTTGTGGTGTAGAAACATTACAGACACTTTGAAATTAAGAAAAAAAGAAGAAGAAGAAGAAGAAAGAAATAGATTTATCTGCACGTGTTTAAAGATTAAAATAATATATAGGATGCTGCATGGATCCTTCATATTGTTTGTTTTTTTATACATGAGTCACATTAGACTTTTCATTTCACTTATATTAATTATTTTCCTTTCTAATTTTCAAAGTTATGAATTCATTTTGTGTTGAAAAATGAGGTGTTGAATAGAATTCTATTCAAAATGTTTGGCTTTAAAATATAATTATAATTATCTTTATTGGATCTTGTTGCTTTGATTATTCTTTAAGAATTTTTTATAGATCTTGTTGCATATTCTTTGCTGCTAAAGCATATGGTAAAAATCTCAAATTCGACTTTTATGAATGAAAAAACAACTGTTGAGAGAGTTTTTTTTTCATATGGGGTCCAACTCGACTCTAAATTAATCAGAATCCAATATGGTTTCTGGATATTGAAGAGTTAGTATCAAAAAAAAAAAAAAAACTGAATTTAGCAAATCTTTGCTATATGCTTTGCGGCCAAAGCATATAGAAAAAAAAAAAAAAAAGCATATAGCAAAGATTAGCTAAAAAAAATGATTAGTAATTTATTGATCTGCAAATCTATACCATAAGAACTGAATTTAGCAAATCTTTGCTATATGCTTTGCGGCCAAAGCATATAGCAAAGATTGCCCCAAAGCATATAGCAAAGATTAGCTAAGAAAAAAAAAGTAGTAATTTATTGATAAGCAAATCTATAACCTAAGGACCAAATTTAGTGTTAAACAATTATTTTTTATATATTAGGTTTAAATTTTAAGTTTTAAAATTAATATATAAAAAAATTAATTTTCTTAAATATATTAGTTGATTTGAGAATGTGTTCTCGAGATTATTTAAAAACTGATTAATTTTAAAGTATATAAAAAGTTACTCAAAAACATCTGACCATTAAAATAAATGAAAAAAAATCAAAAGAATCTGTTCATGTATGAATGTGTGATTATATTGATGGATATTTATAAGTTGTTTTTTTTTTTTTTTTTTTTTTTGGTTTCCTGCTTGGTAGCCGGGGTTTCGCCTCGATTAGTCCGGACCCGACCTACGTCGCGCACTTGGGAATGATAGGTGAGTCTCCTAGTAAGGGCTGCTGCGTACACAAGGTCTCAAATTCAAGATTTTGCTTAAGCTGAAACAAGTCATTTACCACTTGATCCAACCCCTCATTGGTATTTATAAGTTGTTATATT